TTAATAAGTAGCTGTTCTTTATTCTTTATCTCCACTTCCAGTTCAGATCTTTTCTTTTGTCGATTCAGTTTATGTTTAGAATTCATATGAATGAGTATCCCTCTCATATACACTTTACTCGCATCCCACACGATTTCAATTGGGGTACCCTTATTCAAATTTATTTCAAAAAATTCTTTAATCTGTTTTTTAAGTTCTGTTATATTTTTTTCGTATCTAAACAAATTTTCATTTAATCTCCATGATCTTCTCTCGGTCTTTCCAGTCTCAATTTCTATCCATACAGGACTATGATCGGATAGAGTTCTTGGAAAAATCTTAGTTCTTTTTGTTTTAACAAGTAAATCATTTGATAATAAAATAAAATCAATCCTAGAAAAAGATTTATGTCTATCAGAGAAAAAAGTATAGCCCAAGTCTTTTGAATTATGTATTCTCCATATATCTTTTAATTCCAAGTCTTCTTTCATATCAAAAAAGGTTTGTGGTAGTCTAATCCTTGACTTCGCCAGACTCTTTTTATCTAATTTGGAATCAATTACTCCATTCCAATCTCCCATAATCAAAATAGATCTATAATCCCATTGCAATATTTTAGTATGCAAAATTTTATAAAAGTGATCCTGTTGTTGATTAGGAGCATAAATTCCAATCACAAGAATTTGGCCATGTACAATGTGCAGTTCGATTGCTATAAACCTGCCACCTTCATCTGCTTCTATAAGTTTAGCTGACAGTCTTTTATTTATGTAAATAACCACACCATTCTTTTTTTCTGAATTTGAAGCTATAAAATGTATTCCTAATTTTGAATTTATCAAATATTTTTGATCTTGTGTTCTGACATGAGTTTCTTGTAGACAAATTATATCATTATTAAATTGTCTCAAATATGTAAATATCTTCCTCCTTTTCTGTGGTGAGTTCAATCCATTCACATTCCAAGATAAAAACTTAACCGTCATGTATCCCTTTTTGAAGCGACGAGCAGAATTGCTGGATATCTTCCAAGATCTTTGGCTTTGCTCCCCCCATGGCTTCACTTTCTTGTGTAGTACTCTTGACTCCTTTTTTGTATTGTTGTGCCTTAGCTTTTTCCTGTGATTGCTTTTCTTTGAGTTGTTTAGAAATTGCACGAGTTATACGCTGGTCTTTGGCTTCAGCCATTCGAGCTAGATCCAAAGCCACATCTCTTGTAGTCAAAATTGGAGAAGATTCTAACAGGGGCTCCTCCAAAAAACCTCCTGTAGCACCTGCATTTCCACTAGCTCTGATTCAACCTGCTTAGGCTGCTCTTCCATCTCTTGCTGAGGTTGCTTCTCCTTATCACTCTCCTTTATCTCCAACACAGTAGATTTACGTGGAGATGGTGATCTCTCTTTAAAAACAGTGTAGTAGAAGTGTTCCGCCTTTTCAACAGTATTCAATCGATATCTTTCTCCATTGTACTTCAAAATTATACCAGTTGGAGCATCCCACCGAAATGGGATCTGTAATTTTTTTAATTCATTTACTAAAAAACCAAAATCTTTTCTATCTTTCAACATCTTAGGCGGCAGTTCTTTATAAATTCCAATTTGGGCTCCCTCCACTTGCACAGAAGAAAGAAAAGATTTTTGCAAGATATCATTTCTCAATCTTCTATCTGTGAAATATATCACCACATCTCTAGGCAGTTGTCTTTGTCTGGCCACCCACGAGTTCACTCTGTAAATTTTGTCTATTTTGTAAAAAATCTCTTCAGAATTAATTTTTAACAACACAGCCAAAGCATCAGCACAAATCTGTCTCAAGTCTTCTCGGTCATTCTCCTTAATACCTCTAATTCTTATAGCGAATTCCATAGACCGGAACTGCATCATCGTAATTTCATTTTCAACTCTCTGCATTTTATTATCCACATCAGAAATTTTGAAATCAGTATCCTTTATTTTAACATTCACTTCTGATTTAAATTCTTCCAATTTAGAGTCCACTTTGATAATAATTTCTGACAAGCCAGACACCACATTCGATAATTTATCAGTCACCTTGCCATAATTCTCTTTCACCAGCTTTTTCATTTCATTAATTTCCTGCTTAATTTCCTGTTGAGATTTTTGAAATTTATCATCCATTTCCTGTTGAGATTTTTGAAAATTAACATCCAGAGCCTGAGTAATAAATTCTTTTAAACTTTCAAAATCAAAATCTTTTTTCTGACTCTGCTGAGCTGAAGGAAACTGCTGTTCTGACTTGTGTGTGGGGGATCCCCCCCCCCGCTGCCTTGCCTTCCTGTTTTTTAGAAGCCATTCTGCCACGTGGATTAGATTTTCTGAAAAAGGAGATCCTTTTTTCCTTTTCCAGCACCACAAAGTCCTCTAAAAAAATCCCCCAGGTTTAATCAAGTTGGAGATAAAATTGAACTGAAGCAAGCTCAGGCTTATTTAAAAAGGATTTTTTCTCCCTCTTCTCCTGTTCCTGCTTGTTACAAGCAGTGCAACTTTGTAACTTGTTAAAATAACTTTACAAGACCACTCTCACTCTCAGCTTGTTAACGCTGGAGCCGGGCGCCATTTTTCAAGCCGCTTTCACTCGCTCTGATGTTTGCTTAGATCAGAAAGTCACAAAAGAGATAATACTTGCAGTTTCTTGGTTTAAAGGTTCAGGTTATTTTTTCCGCTAATTAATGAAGTTAATTTCAATCAGTTTGGATGTTTGCTGCAGCCGGCTTGCTCTGCAACAGGCAGAGTCGTCCCACGCCGTCCGGAGTCTCAGCAAGTTGAAAGGGAGCCGCACCTGTTTCCTCCCCAGTAGCGATCTTCTGGGGGCTCACAGGGGCTCGACCTGCACCTTGCTTACTCTTCTCCTTCAAATCCTTCAGATTCTGGAGTTTTCACGCCGCTTCTTGAAATCGAAGTGGCTCTACAGGCGGCGGGGCTGGCGGTCCTTAAAAAGGGACCGTCTTTCACCGGAGGCAAACAAACCGGAAGTCAATACAAGCTGTTTTATAGATGGCATATGGCCCCAGCTAGGATAGCGAAGATCTACCCCAATTCGAGCCCTAAATGGCACTGGCTCCCGGTGGTCTTCCGGGTGCGCTTCAAGGTTTTGGTTACTATCTTTAGAGTGCTCCATGGCTCAGGACCAGGGTACTTACGAGACCGCCTCCTGCCACCAATAGCCTCTCACCGACCAGTTCGCTCCCATAGAGAGGGACTCCTCAGGGTGCCGTCGGCCAAACAATGTCGACTGACGGCCCCCAGGGGGAGAGCCTTCTCTGTGGGGGCACCTACCATCTGGAACGGGCTTCTCCCGGAGTTACGAAACATCCAAGACTTACGCATATTCCGCCGTGCCCTGAAAACATTTCTATTCCAACAAGCTGGTCTGGCCTAACTCTCCTTTTTTAATTGGCTTTTAAACTAGCTTTTAAATCGGGTTTTAGACCTCTTTAGATAAATTTGGATGTTTTAATCTTTGAGCCTAAATTACTTAATCTGTTTTTTAATAGTTTTTAACTTCTATATGTATTTGTATTTATTATGGCTGTTCACTGCCCTGAGTCCTTCGGGAGTAGGGCGGTATACAAATATGAAAAATAAATAAATAAATAAATAAATAAATAAATAAATAAATAAATGTTGGAAATGTGACCATCAGCAGGGTACTTTCTATCACTGCTGGTGGACTTGTAATCAGGCACAAAAATTCTGGAGGATGATATGGATGTGGATTAGAGAAATAATAAAAGAAAATTTTGATTTCGAACCAAAAGCCTTTCTCTTGGGAATTTTGAAAATTGAATATGCAAAAAAGAAAAAGTACTTAATTATACATATTCTGACAGCCACTAGAATTTCCTTTGCCCAGTATTGGAAAGAAAAACAAATACCACCTCAAGAACATGTTATTGGGAAAATACTGGAGTGCGCTGAAATGAAAAAACTGACTTCAGAAATTAATGACAGAGAAGATTCGGAATTTTATAGCGTGTGGGACATGTGGTACGAATGGATGGGGAAAAGAAATAAAGAAGGAAATAGAGTACAGAGATTAAATATTAATTAATCAACAAAATCCATATGAACAGTATTACATTTAGTCTTAGAGATTTGAGCACTATTATCTTTAAGTGTTTTGAAATTAAATTTAGCTTTAAGAAACAATATCAAATAAAAGACAAGTAATAATGCATGTAGATGTATATATGTATATAATTGCACCAATGAACCAAAAATGTATTGAATGTATCACTATATGTTATAATAAAAATCAAATTAAAAAAAAAAAAAAAAGAACTGGCCATGGGAGAAACAGTCACTCGTCAGATGCACACCAGCCACTTTCAAAGTCTGTGCCTTATTGATGGTAAGGGAGTAGCAAACCTTAATGGGAAATTGTAAACTTTTGAACTCGAAGTGGTAGTCTGATGGGATCAGAGGAATTCAGGGTATGAAAACGGTTTCTCCCCGATTGATGCCTGTGAATATCGTGGCTTCAATTATGTGTTTGTACAGAGTCTTCACCTGAAGCCTGGTGCCATTGCACAGTTTCGGAGGGGTTAGATTGCGTAATAGCATGATTGGAGCGCCAACCTTGAGGTAGAGGACACGAGGTGGTAATCCTGGTGGGTTGACAGTGTGCAAGAACTCCACAGGGTAATGTACAGCATCCTCGACCTCCATTACCGAGTCTACAGATTCATACTTCATATGCTCAGTGGACAGCTATTTTCAGCTATTTAAGTGTCAATTTATCAAGCCCGATCACATAATTTCATAGCAAAGCATGGGTATCCAGCTAGTTTTTAATATAGTACAATATAACAAAATCAACCCCCACCTCCCACCCACCCATCCCGCCCCGGCGACAGCAGATCAGATGAATCATTTAATGGGCTCCATCCCACCCTAGGTTTGTCACGTAAAATGTCTAACTAACATATGCCCCCACTGTTCCATGGCCTATCAAGGGTTAACACTACTACACAACCCATCACTCCCACAATCCCACCTTACCTTGACTCCTCCCCCTGGGTATAAAAGGATGGTCCACATGGGCACCAGGTCAGTTCCAGCCATATACCTGAGAAGGAAAGACATAGGTCAGTTACTAGTGCATATCTAGGACTGTGATATATTTATAACTACAAATAAATAAACTGCAACAATTGCTATTTTGTATTGTGAGTTATTGGGCTAGATCCCAATTAACAAAATGGTAGCAGAGGAGGGTTGCCCATAACTCCCAGCCATGTCTGAGCAAGCTGTGTACTCAACGAAGAACAGAATAAACACCAGAGCTTTTACCAGGCAGATGGCAGCGCAACTAACGTCCACCGGAGCCACTCCAAAGACTACCCCAACTGCGAATGTGCGGACCATCGACTTGAGCACGCCATCCAAGGGTGAGGAACAGCGGGAAGAAGAAAATGATGACTACAGAGGCACATCACGAGAGAATGATGACCTCAGACAAGCCATACTGAAAATAATGGAAATGCCCGCCTCTAATGAGGACCTTGTCGCGAATCTCCAGAGCCTACTCGAGAGCCGTGGAGCAGCGACTGAAGGACCGGAACCAACCCAAGAAGCCACCATCCCAGTAAGAGAGGAGCCACCCCAACTCAGCACGCCAGAAGCAGCCAAGTCTATTTTCATGCCTTTTTCGCGGCGGCCATCTTGGAATGGCCAACAGCCAATGGGAGGCCTGGATTCAAACCTCTTGGCCCGAACTAGCCCCGAACTCAAAAAAAATAAGGGGCCATCCAAAAATAATGAGGGAAAACAAAAACAAGTCACCAGGAGCTCGCCTACTGAGCTCGAAATAGAAAGGGCCATCGAGACCCTCGCGGCAGCATTTGGCCCCACTTACAAGCCGCCCAACCTTCCTCCGGGCCTCGGAACGACCCCCGAGGCCCAAAGAAACAACCTGATGCCCACCAACAACGAGACACCGACTGCAACACACCAGAGGGACGCGACACCAGCCACTAGCGAGACGCAGCCACCCGCCATCAACACACCGACCCCGTGCGCACCGCAAACCAACCGGCGCAAGACCCGAGGCCCAGGACCCAAGCGGACCACTTACCTGCACCAAAGCCTCCGCCGGGCTTTTCGGCCCGACCCATGACCAGCATCTACTGACCAGAGCCATTCGCCATGACCACCAACCAGCCGATCTTCTGGAGGCCCCGCCCGGCGAACGCGAACCTTCCAGGCCTCCTGCCGGCGCTCGATGATGATCCTGCAGCCCAGGACCAGCTCCGGACTTCCGCTGCCCAGCTCTGAGCTCCCAGGGGTGAGTCCGACCTTCCCCTGGCAGGGCTGGGCCTAGCTTCAGGAGCCGCAGCCACGAGCTCCTCACCCGACGGATCCCAGCAGAGAATGAGCTTCGCACATGCTCAGTTTCCCCCTGTTGGAAGTGAAGGGAAAAAAATGACTGCTTGTTTTTTTAACCTGTCAGCCTGTATACCAGTCCCTTACTGTGAGTTCCCACACATCCAGGACCATGGACAGCTGCCTTTTGTAAGTAGCAGTTCTCACAACTCTGGGACTTTACCCAATGGCTTTCCCAAGCTTCAATTAGATGGGAAAAATCTCTTGGAGTGGAGCCAACAACTCCAAATAGTATTTTTGAGGTAGAATGTACTTTTTCTGATTTCTAAGCCACCCAGTACACTATGGTCTTTTGAGACTGATTGTATACACCACAAAGCTTTTTGTTTATTGTTAGCAAGTATATCACCCACCATGTACCCCAACATAGGTAACCACCTGACCGTGTATGAGGTTATGCAGAAACTATATGGCTTATTCTACAGTAGGAGCAGGGCCACCACCACAAGAATATCAAGAGACTTTCACTCTGCCAGACTCAGGCCAGGGGTGTCCATGAGTGAGCATTTATTAAAACTCAATGCCACCAGGGCTGAATTACTGCAGAGAGATGAGAACATCACAGAAGAAAGCATGATGAGTATAATCATAAATTCACTAGATCCCAGCTGGGATAACTTTGTCACACAACTAGACAGCCTAAGCGTAGGGCACATATCATTAGATAGTCTCACCAACAAACTAATTGCTGAAGATAGTTTAAGAAGGGACCGCCACTTGTCCAGAAAAGAGCTCAGACCTATAAAGAGGGTTGAGTTTCAGGACAGAATAAATAGCATCCCTGAATGTTTCTCATGTGGTTCCAGGAACCATTTTAAAAGGGACTGCCTCAGAAATACCAGAGACGAGGTATAATGAGCGCAGGGAAAGGCCTGAATTCGGACGAAGATACCAAAGGGGACACTCTCCAGATCACAGACCCACAAAGGAACGAGGGCGCGGATGGTCTCCCAACCCCAGGCGAGGTAGAGAGTGCAGGGACAGCTCCCGAGACAGCAACACAGGCTCTGTGTATGGTTTTAGGTATGGAGGACCAACTCTCAGTCAGGGAGATAAGGAGAATATTTGGCTCATAGATTCAGGAGCCACCAACCACACTACATACAATGCCAAATTATTCACCACTTTTACTGAGGTGAACTTTGAGATAAAGGTAGCCAATCAGAGCAATGCCAGAGTAATTGGAAAAGGGAGCGTACACATCCCAGGGATAGGAGAAATAGAGGGGGTGCTGTTTGTGCCTGAAATACCATACAACGTACTGGCCACCATAAAATTAAGTCGGGACACTAACATTGAGGTGGTATTCAGGAAAGGTAGGGTATACATGTCCAGCAACGGAGAAAACATTGGGGAAGTGACAGTACATAACGGCCTACCATACTTCACACCAAACGAGGGCGATCAACAGTGCGTAAACATAAACATAGCCGGTGAGAAAAGGGAGAATAGAGAAACAGAGGGGGTCAATCAGAAGACCACAGTTTTCCTAGGGAGACCTGTCCACGACACTTGCGCCCATCTCCTCCATAGGAGACTAGGCCACATTGGGTTCCCAGTCAAAAAAATGTTTGAATGTACTGAAGGATTGAAAGTAAAGAGTTGTGAAAATTACCTCGAGTGTTCTGTCTGTAAATGCTCAAAGATCAAGGCTAGGCCGAGACCAAAGAAATCAGGGCAGACCACTGATTCCACTTTCCAATTAATACACCTGGACCTGGTAGGGCCACTGAAACAATCTATCAGGTACAAGGAGAGGTTTTTCTTAACCATTGTGGACGATTTTAGCCGCTACGGTTTTGTATACACACTCAAACACAAAAATGAGGCATTCCAGAGGTTCAAGGAATTCTATAAGAGGGTGGAGGTTCAACACAATACCAGAGTCAGACAGATAATGACAGACCGCGGTTCCGAGTTCATGTCCAGGGACTTTTCAAAATGGTTGAAGGAACGCGGCATACTGCGTTTCACCTCCTCCCCATTTTTGGCCTTCCAGAATGGTGTGGTAGAACGCAAAAATGGCATCCTCCAAACCATGATGAAGTGTGTCCTAGAAGATGCGGGGATGGGCCAAGCTTTCTGGTCAGAAGCTCTCCATTATTCAAATTACACATTAAACAGACTCTGGTCTAGCGTAATTGACAAAACACCGTATGAGATGATGCACAAAAGAAAGCCGAACCTGGCACATCTCCACGTGTTTGGTGTTCCAGCAGACGTACACATACCCAAACAATTAAGAAGAAAAGGAGACAAGGTCTCCAAGAGACTAAGGTTCATGGGATACGAAACAGGAACAAAAGGCTTCAGATTCATAGATAGCAACAACAAATTCATGGTGTCAAGGTCAGCAGATTTCCATAAACACTGCAACTGGTCCAAACTGCACTCAAACGACATCTTTCTTGGGGGAGACACATCCAGACCCGAACAGAGGGAAAGGGACTAGGACACAGGCAAAGCTGGGGAAACCAAAACCCACAGACCCAAACACCATGGGTTTCCTCAAGATTGAGGAATGGAAGGAAGGACACCCCACACTAAGCCTTGACAAACTCACGATAAGGAAGCCGGATGTCTACACGAGACAGACACAGTACGAGCGAACTGAAACAAAACACCAAAGATGCTCGAGGATTACATCATCTCCATACAGACGAACAACATCACCCCCAACTCTTATGAGGAAATACTCAAACTTCCTCAAGAAGAAAAAGAGAAATGGGAACAAGCCATGGAAAGGGAGATGAGAAGCCTCAAGGACCTACAAGTATACACACCAGCCAAAGCACCAGATGACAAAAAACCTATTGGGACTAAGTGGGTATACAAAATTAAACCACTAGAAGATAATAAGGTATTATACAAAGCAAGACTGGTTGCCCAAGGTTTTGCTCAAAAATACCCAGAGGACTATACAGACACATATTCCCCCACCGTCAGAGCCAAAAGTGTCAAGAGCACTCTAGTAATAGCTTCCATACTAGGACTAGGAGTGTATCAGTTCGATGTACAAACTGCATACCTGCATGCCGATTTAGACAAGAAAATTTATGTCAAGGCCCCACCAGGAATTGACGATGGGAAAGGTAGCACTTGGCTCCTAAACAAAAGTCTATACGGTCTCAGACAGTCAGGCAAAAGATGGTATGACTGCCTAGCCAGGACCTTCACATCAATGGGTTTCACCGCCACCTCAGCAGACAAATGTTTCTTCATAAAAAGGGGAAAAGGGTCAATCGAAAATGTCCTTGTTTACGTAGACGACATATTGTACATACGGAAGCAGAAATCCAGATGTGACAATTTTGCTGATGAACTAAGGAAACATTTCTCACTAAAATCATTGGGGACAGTAGATAAGTACTTAGGGGTCCACATAATCAAAACAGACAAGAGTTTCCGACTCTCCCAAAGGGAGAAAATCATAGAGCTGTTACACAAATGTAACATGTCAGAAGCCAAACCCAGCGAGATCCCCATGCAACCGGACTTCCTAAAGAATATGTACAATGAAGCAGAACCATTCACAGATAACAAATTATACAAGTCTACCATAGGCTCACTACTATACATAGCTAACTGGACAAGGCCCGATATCGCCTTAGCAGCCAACCTATTATCCAGACATGTCAGCCAACCCACAGTCTATCACTGGGATGCCATCAAGAAGATACTCAGATATTTGAAATACAGTGCTGATGCCTACTTATGCCTTGAACTCAACATATCCAAGGAGCCAAAACTATCGTGCTATGCAGACGCCGATTGGGCAGGAGATATCAAAAGCCAGAAAAGCACTTCTGGTTACATCTTCTTCCTCAACAACAGCCCCATACATTGGTATACAGGTAAACAAAAACTAGTGGCCACCTCCACCACCGAGGCAGAGTTTATATGTATGTCTAAGGCTGCCAACAATCTAACCTGGTTCGATGACCTACTCAATGACATTTGGACGCAGCCATCGTATCCTATAGTCATCCACGAGGACAATAAAGCTGCCATTGAAATATCAAAAGCAGACGCCGTGGGTCAAAGGTCACGCCACATAGATATAAAATGCAAACATGTCAGACAACTGTCAGAGATCGGTTTCATCAGGGCCATACATTGTGACACCGAGGAGCAAACAGCGGACATACTCACCAAGCCACTACAACACAAACAACACGCATATCTCATGTCAAAATTACGTGTCTACATGTAGATCATATGTGTATGTATATAGAGAAGCCATGTACTCCCCATCAGTTAGACATTTAGAGGGGGTTTTGTCACGTAAAATGTCTAACTAACATATGCCCCCACTGCTCCATGGCCTATCAAGGGTTAACACTACTACACAACCCATCACTCCCACAATCCCACCTTACCTTGACTCCTCCCCCTGGGTATAAAAGGATGGTCCACATGGGCACCAGGTCAGTTCCAGCCATATACCTGAGAAGGAAAGACATAGGTCAGTTACTAGTGCATATCTAGGACTGTGATGTATTTATAACTACAAATAAATAAACTGCAACAATTGCTATTTTGTATTGTGAGTTATTGGGCTAGATCCTCACAATTAACAGGGTTCCCCAGGCCCAATGGCAGAACCAGGTCTTCAGCACCTTCCGGAAGAGT